CAAGCGGAGAAGAAAAATATCAGGAACAAAATAGGACTCCTTTGTGCTTTTTGCTTCGGCTGCTAATACTCATGCTTGCAGTTGGCGGCAATTCGACCGTTGTGTCATTCTACCGTCCACTATTTGGGTAGGGGAGGGGAGGGGGCGGGAATAATGGTCCGCGCCAAAATGGACCTAATGTCTTAGTGGTTGGTAAAATTCATAACGACTGAAGCTTAGATTGAAAACAGGAGCTGATAAAAAGATGGTTTTATTAACCTTATTCCTGTCAGAAATGTGCTGATGTCTTATCAGCTCGCATCGATGTACTCCTCTGGATCGGATTTGACACAAAGCGGCTACCCGGTTAACAACCAAAATGAATAACTTTTACACCTTCTCCATAGACAAAAAGCTCTACTTTTTAAACAGCTTCAGTTTCATTTATCCACTTTACTAGAAACATACGACAGTGAGACATGAATAAAACACTTATGGGGACAGAGGGAGATTTACTGCCACATGATTTTAAAAGGCACTCCCCTCCTCATCATTCAGTACACTGATTTGCCGCGCTGGCTATTGCGTCCTTGGGAATGAAAAATTGCCATAATGTCTGCTTGTAAAGGGGCTGTTTTTCGAGACAACAGTCAGTTCCAGTGTTTGTTAAACGCGGTGTACGGGCAGAATGTCGATCTGATAATTAGACGAGTTGTTATCAATATAACACTAGCCGTTTTACAGCCTCTGAACCATTATCTGACAGCAGTGTGGTCAAAAGAACGACCAACACGCCCCATTGTAACCTTGCATTTCTTCATTTAGGTTATCTGTTTGCGGCCTGACTGGTCCATATAATTACCTGATCACTCATAAAACCACACACCAGAAATTGGCTGTCGGTTCACCCTTTGCCTTTTGATCCAAACATTGGCATAGGCGATATCAGATTTCGCTTGCGGCATGCTGCCGTGAAATTCAACCCTCGTGTGTACATTTTTCACACACGACTGGATATTTGTTGTATTATCTCCATGCCTGCGTTATGTTCATAGGTTTGGGCAAAGTAACCTTTTTATAGACTGACGTCCGTTTGTCTGCTCATGAGGAAACTGAGGAAAATACAGTTACGCTTTCCTTTTTTCTTCTATTTAAAATTGCTACCATCACGCTCACGAACATTTTTCGTATTGTTAATTTTCATGATGATGAACGTATAGTCTGCGTAGCAGTGCCAAACGATGAGTTGCTACTGTTCGGAGAGAAAGCTATGGCTCTCGAATAACAGCTCCTGTTTCAAACCGGATACGGTAGATCTCATAGACTTGTCTATTACCCAATCATATATCTATCGTTTGGAAATGAAGAAGTTTCTTCTAATCAAATGGTTCCACCTGATGGTTGTGTCATGACCAATTTTTGTTGTTGTCTGAATGTGTCGGTCAGTGAACAGATGTAACACGGTGATTTTTAGTCAGTCCATCATTTATCGACGTGAAAAAGGCCGTAACATCAATTTATATCATACTGTCTGGCTACAAATTTATTTTGGTAATGGAGTGATGTCGTCATTTTATCTGCTTAGGCACAGTTCTGAGTGAGCGAATTGTAAGGACTGGTCAGTCAGCGGACCCCACAGTGACGTGGGAACTATCTAGTGGACCATGTTGAATCGACTAACAGCTATGGCTTATTTGATCTAGAGAATCCGTAAATTACCTATCAAGGCAAGAAACAGTAGTGAAAGTCGGCGACCACATTCTGAAGCCTACTATTCGAACAACACGAACCGTTTTACAGTTTCGCGACTGCTAGATGCCCGATAGTGGTTTCGAAGTTGCAGCTGGTGTATATGATTTTAGTAGTGGTCGACGTGCCTCACTGGAGTGTTTCACACCTACATTTTGTTGTTAGTGTGCGACCTACTTGACCTGGCCTGAACAGTCAAAGCACAGTCCACCAGACATCAGAATGTCTCAGCAGGGGTTTGCGTCGTCAGACCGATAAGCGATGTCATGGCCATGGTCAGACAGATGCGTTTTGTGGTTCATGCTATAAGCCAAGGTCTGCCATAAAGATAGTGCATAATTTTTAGGTGTTTGGTGCTGTTGGGTTTCTCTGCGGACTTTGGTTGAGGAAAATTCTGCCCCGTGATCTGAAATTTGAGAAAGGCGGTGTCAGATTTCGCTCGTGGTGTGCCACTGTGCAGTGTGAACCTTGTGTTTGCAGTTTTCACTGGATTTTGCCATCATGTCACTGGGTATCTTCAGTTTTATCTCCGCGTCTAGACAATCAGTGGACCCCACAGTGAGGGGAGAACTATCTCTTGGAGTATTGATCGGCCGGAAAATATAGAATCAACTACGAGTTATGGCTTATTTGAGCTAAACAATCCATAACTTCCCTAACAACGCAAGAAAGGGTGGCGAAATTCCATTAACAAAGCCTGTGGTGTACCAGCGATTTCCATTTTGATCCTGATCAAAATTGCGCCTTAGCCGAATGCCATATGGGCATCTGCTTACGACAGAATTCACAGTATTTAGATGACGTTTTCCTTTCCATTATTCCATTAATGTATCAGGTAGGGTTGAGTCATGAGTTAACAATCAATGTACCAAATTTACAGGCCTGCACTCGCCTTATGACTGGTGCGCTAGCCAGGCTGATTTTTCGTGTACTCAATCAACACGTAGGAGAGCAGCAGCTGAGTCCATGGGTGGGGCCATAACTTGCAAGTCGATAATGATGCGTTACGCCTCACTGGATAGCGGGCTAATCGAATCATCCTATCTGTGCCTCACCGTCCCCCAAGGCGGTACAAAAATAATTTAGATATACTGGGTGACGTATATTATGAAATGCTAAGTGAAATTCTGAAATCTGGCTTTCTCTTGAAATTATTACTTAAATAGTGTTGTAATATTGATCACCATGCACCACAATCCCGGAATGTGTTAATAATAATAGAATGCTGGTTTTCGAATGAGTATCTTTCCGGTTGCCCACATAAATACCACTTGCCGAAAATAGTCCCTTAAGTAGTGTAAATCCAGTAAGTTTTGCGTGTTTTGATAACAAAGAACACATTTTACAGAATGCATGCATTAAAATAACTTTTATTACACTCATTTTATACTTAACTAAATCTTATACAACAAAATAGAATTTTTCAATTCATCAATGAATAGCGTAGAGGAAGTCGCGATTTTCCTTAAATGGGACGTGGTCAACTCGTAGTTTGGCAGTACAAAGGGCAACTTCGACGGTAGACAGGGTTCACAATTATTGGGAATCGAAAAACGTTCAGTAAACCTGGAAACCATTCTTTGAGTACCAGATTTAAGGAATACTCTAGTAACTTTGAAATGAATCAAGAAGGGGTATTTATTATGCACGTTTTGCATAAAAAATATTTGAATTTGTGAGGACACCGAGTTTGGTTTTCACAGCTGACCGGAAAGGATCGCATTCAAAAGCTGGCATGTTGGAATGATTAAAAATTTTGGTGTGTGCTATTCAGAATTAACGTCTGTTAGGTAATCCTTATCAACCAAAATGGTATCTCGAAATTTCAGTTAATTTTTATGGGATACGTCGTCTGCGGTACGTGATTTATGTTTATTCATTCGACACACAAGAGGGGCTGTTGGTCTCCCAAAATGCCTTCACCCTAATCGCTCTACTATCCGCCACCTGTGAAGACCTCGTTTTTCCGAATTTTCGCTCCATATTGACAACTTTTAGTGAAAGGTTTGCCCGGCAGCTGACAATCTACTAGTGGCCTGGTCCGCGTATCTTTACCCACATGGGTTTGGTGTCTACTGAGTGTCTGATGCACCGAACGCCTGCCTGGCACACAAGCAGACCATACTCGACTAAATTTGATATTAGAATTATGTCATCTTTTCCACCCCTCTGTCAGAAATACTTTTTCCCCGTAAGCCTACACGTCTCCCGGCGCCCGCAGGTGCACGCAGGAACCTCGCTGACCGTGGTCACGCAGTGTACTTTCTTGTGTTGTCATCGTGGTTACGTAGATAAATATGACTTTGTCTAGCAGCCGCTTGCAACGATGAAGGCTAATAGAAGTATGTTTTAAGACGCTTTTGGAACAGTCGGTAATACTGCGAAATGGTGCATCTCCTGAATCAGGTGTACTAGAAATACCACTTCTGGCATTTTTGCTGTTGAGCACAATGAAGAGACGAGTTGAGGGAAGCGGTCGGAAAGATTGAGATGCCATGGCTTGTCTGATTCTCTCTCTGATGGTGGATACGAAACGTCAGATGAATAACAGTCCTATTCCAACTATCCCGTCTCCTTGTCGTCGTTGATTAGCTACGTCTCAAACATCCAGGTGGCTTTGACATATAGAAGAATCATAAAGGTCAGGAGACTCATGCCTTCTTCCAAAATGCTCACGCACGTTTACCCCTGTTGGTATTTGCATCTCAGTTTTGCGACTCTTGTAGTAAGATTTGCCAGGCAGATGATAATCTGCTAGCGCGCTGGTCCTGATGTGCGTTACCACGTGGGTCCCGATATCTATGAACTGTCTGTCACAGTAAACTCATGCTCGGCCCTTAATCAGGCCCAACTCGACCCAAATTGGTAGCAGAATAATTTTCTGTTTTTCCCTTCTCTGTCAGGAATAATATTTTTTGTAGTCCTACATGTCTATGCGTCGTCCGGCATCTCTTAGCACACACAAGAAACTCGCTGGTCACAAGCATGCAGAGTTCTTTCGCGTCGACCTCGTTGGTAGGCGAGTGAAAGTGACTCTTTGTCTAGCCACCCTGCACCGCAAGCAATGGCAACGATGACAGTCACTAGTTCTATCTTTTTACTTTTCAATAAAACGGCTACTCTAGTTGAACGCAGCCAGTACCTTTGTGGACTGTATGAAAAATTCACTGACTCAGCCCAGAGATGAGCGTACCTTGCGAGGCCTCTGTCTGAACATGTTAGGACATGTAGGACGACGGTGTTGGATTTGATGCTAAATTTAGACCCTTAGAAAGCCCAGGAGTAGAAGATGCGATCGCTACAACCAGAATTTTATTTTCCTGACGTTTCGCATTCGATCGAAAACCCTTTATCAGAGGTAACCGTAGAAAGCTGTCTAGTCATTGGTCAAGCGTGGGAATCGATGACAGAAGAGCCCTAGCTCGAATTCAGGATGTTCCAAGTCTGGGGTTGGATACACCTGACTGATGACGGAGGATGAGCCAAAAGTGACTATTTCGGACTCTCTCTCTTGTCTGTGTTGATAATGTTATTCTGCTGTTTGGCTGCTCCGGAGCTCGAGAGTGAATGCAAACGCATCAAAGACTGGCTTAATATGTACAATGATTTTACGAAAACTGTTAACCTTCTACCGTTCCGTTTCTTAATTACGTATTAGAGGAAACTATATTTTACAACAAATTATCTTGTTGCATACTTCAAATTTAAAAGCATCGTTTTCGATATCCATCTTCGTCAAGGATCTTTTGTGTGGTAAAACAAAATCAGTGGACTCTATACTTCATAGTAAAAATGTAAGCGTTAATTCTAAGAAGAGTTTCTGCATAATTGCTACCCAGTAAGTACAAAACACGCCATGGAAAGTAAGCTATTCTCACAAAGGTACAAATCGGAATTGCTTCGCAGACCTCAGGAACTCGCACCGAAATTCCTATTACTAACCTGTCGTAGACATGTCCATCAGTCTAATGAATTCATCGGAATCTTATCTTTTCTGACTTAAAGGCGACATGAGCTTGTTTCGAGAGACTAACGGACCATGTTGATTTGCTTGTGAATAATGAATTTATGTTCAGGATTTTACCCTTTACTACAGTATAACCTCCTATCCATTTGCCAAAGCAAAGGGTGTTTTTTTTTGCGAACAAACTTCCTTTTCACGAAACGTTTGTCAGCTTAAATCCCCCCTCTTCCGCCTGATTGCGTGTAGGTGGCAGAAGCAATGGACTACCTCGAAAATGCTCGGAGCTTTCATGGCGATCTGCGTGCCGCAAACGTCTTCTTCACTGCCGACTTCACTGTGAAGGTCGGAAATTTCGGTCTGAACAAAATACTCAACGATAATGAGACCAACAAGCAGAGTAAGCACTTGATTATATATTTTTAAGCAATTTATGACAATTTACATTTGCGGGCGATGAGGTGTTTGTTTTTAAAATATTATAATGACCCTAACGGACACGCAGGTCTAGATCGACATACTTGCATGTTTCCTATCCAGGCTGCCTGGTTGTACTGTGAAGTATTGAACTACATAGCTCACCTCCTATTCGTTGCACCGATTGGCTACTAAATTACTTTGACATAGTACTACATAATATATTGTCGCCTTATCTTTGTATTTTGTTTCTTGCAGGTCGAATGTACACGCTTAGGTGGGCCGCGCCAGAAACAGTCAAAACAGGCTACGTCTGCTCAATAAAGGCTGATGTTTGGTCCTTCGGAGTCCTGGCATTTGAAGTTTTTACGTTCGCCTCGGAGCCCTATGCCGGTAAGATGAGATCGCGTGTTTGCGCGCTGATTATCATACCGCTACAATTGCATCCCCTTCCTTTTCAATTCACGGAGAAAACACGTAGAGGTCTCCTGATCTAGGAACTAATATGAAACCAGCTAATTCAGTTTAAGGTACTTCTGAAATAGCGTATATCCTTGGCGAACAGTGTTTTGATTGCGTGAATCAAACGGACGGTACAGCACACCACCCGAGAATACTCTGTCGCGTTCATCATAAATTAGATGGCGCATGCTGATCAAAGGCTATAATGCGATTGGTAGCAGATGTGGACAAGCCAGGAGAGGTATCAAATTATGGCTTTGGAGTACTAAGGATAAAAGTATGCGTGTCAATATGAGGTGACTGTTTCTTAATCGTACCTTAAAAAGAGAATTTGTTTTTTATGCTTCGGGAACGTTTTATGCGTGACAACAGTATCGGTGATGTGATTAAGGCGCCATCGAAGGCCTCTCGTTAGGGCACCAAAACTTTATCCTAACCATGAGCTTCGCTAACCTACATAACTTGAGCCAAAATCCACAGTTCTGATAAAGAAAGTTACCAGGCAGAAATAAAATACCTATTCCAACAATTTTCCAAAAATGGATATCCAAGAACTTCGTGAG